AAATGATAATAAATACAGCAGTTTTGAATGGATGAATATTCTGTGAACATTTCATTTTAGGATAAAACATCAGATTTTATTCCTAAGACACTATAATAAGCAACATCTTTGGTTTGTCTTGCCTTGTCAAAAAGATATTAAATTAACTTAGTTCTTCTTACTTACTATTACTAAAAAATGCATTTTTAGATGAAACAAAATTTGCTAATGATTTTTTTTTTTTTTTTTATTCTAGCTTTTGTATTTTACCAAATCTCTTAAAATAAACAGAAAACAGAGGCCCGGCTTCATTCAGTGTAAACAGGCAGAAACGGAGGTAGAGCTGCTCACTGGACATGCCGCGCCACGCAGAGACATGCCTCATACACATCCAACCACAATGACCTGTGACAGCCAGAGCAGCTCCACTGGCCAGCAAATGAAAACACAACAGCAGCCATTTCTATATCCATGTGGGGAGTGGAACAGGAATGCAGAAAGAGGAGAGCGCAGGGAAAAGGCAGGACTGCTCTGTTATATCTTTTGGTGACAGATTCATTCTCATTCTCTCTCACTCCCTCCCTTTCTCTTTCATTTCCTCTGCCTCTCCTTTCAGGTGCAGTGACACCTGTCCGTTGCACCTCACTAACACCCCATGTGGCCTTTATCTCCTCCCCCTGAGAAGTCATTGGTTAAGTGACAGTGAACAAAAGCTGTTGATTGGAACTGGGGTCTGGTGGAGAAAGAAAAAGTGGAGAGGACAGGAAGATCAGTGGATTAATGCTCACTTCTGGTTACTCTAGTGTGAACCGCTGCACAGCTTAGTGTGGCTCGGCTCAATACAGCACAGCACTGGGCCATGAATGGAGACTAGAATCTGGGTGGGATTAATGAACTGTTGTGGACCCCCTCTGGAATGATACTCTTATCTTCCTGGCTCACAGGGAAAGGGAAGGAAAGAGGTAAAAGGAAAGGCATGCAAAGAGTTTTTCTTCTAAATGAAGCAGAGAAGATGGCAGAAACAGAAAAAAAACTGAGACACCATAACACTGAATTCAGTGCAACACTGATAGTAATGTGAGATTATATTCAGAGGTGTTCCTAATATTCTGACCCTCTCATGTATGTAGCAGTGGACAAAAATATAGACACCTCTAAATATAATGTAGTCCAGTGCAAGACTACCTTTAACTATGACCTCAATAATAAACATATAATTGAATTCATACATTTATGACAATTTCACCAAAAACTGAAACACTGTGATCTTCATAAACCCAGATGTTAAGATGGAAGTGTTGCACTGACTTGCATACAACTGTACAGGTGTGACCATTAATGTGGCTGGGCAGTGTATTTCCTTTAACTGTTTGTCACAAAAACAGATGAAGTAATTTCACCCCTGATTCATTTCTGACTGAATGTAGAAAATGGTCCAAGCACAAGGAACGACAAATGTCTGGATGCAAGGCGATGAAGGACTTACTAGGTCTGCATTTGTACCAGACAATGAGATATTTACTGCTGCCAGGACACAGGTCTGTCCCAAACACGCGGCTGTTGACAAGGACCTGACAGCTCCTTCTGTCTTGGCACTCGTCCAGCATTTTCTAAAGATGTAAAGAGTGACAGAGAGTGGGAGAAGACCAAAGACAGGTTTGGACAGGGAACAATAAGCCAATGATGGTGAGACCAGCAGCAGGCAAACCTAAAACCACTTCAAAGAGGCTGCCTGTATCCATGGGAATACAGAGGAGAGGAGCAGGTAAGAAAAAAAAAAAAAAGAACTCAACACAACTCAGTGGACTAAAACGAGTCTTAGAACTTTGTCCCTAGTTTTCTGTAATTAATACCCAACGAAATGATTCTTTCAAGTAATTATTAGGAAGCAGTAGACCTGTAAATTAAAGCATTTTCTAACTTTCATTTATTTTTATTATACTTTTTAGTATAAACTGTATAATAATTCACACTGAAAATAAATGACAAGTTACAGTCTATATTAGGATACCTGTAAACTAAGCATACCAATACCAACAGAACAAGGGCTATGAGCAGGTGGTACAGTGGGATTCTCCAGGGTTGTACTACTGTGGGTGGCACAGCAGTCACCCATTCTCTAACTTCAGTACAATGTCCTCTCTGACTGTGCATTCATGGCTGTCCTGTCTTTTATAGAAATGGCAGGTGTTTGATGGTAAAAGGCAGTCGAATAAGAATGAACAAAACTACTGAATGAATGCTGAACAGGATGAGTAGGTTTCGGTGGTGCAAAGCAAGGCTTCTAGTCCAGTCGCATCTCAATTTAGGAGAGGAAACTAAGGCAAATACCCCATGAAATCCCTTTGTGTCATGGGAACATACAACCCTGCTTCCTCTATAGAGAGTGTAATTTGGCGGAAAACCTCCTCACAAAGGATTACATAATTAGCGGTCTTCTGAAACTTAACCCCTGGCCAATTTGACCATTTTATAGCACATGTTCTCTCACAAGGATCAACAGTCTAAAAGCTGGGGTGTCTATGGACTAACAGGGGGAGGGGCAAAAGGAGATCCATGTCTGGGAAACATGGAAGACAGCAGGGATGAGCATGACAGACACATGCAAAATCTTAGGAAAACTCTAATATTAGCTATTAACAATTCTATTAGACTGTATTTTCTGGTACATTACATACATCTGGTCTATTAGAAATGTTTGAGCTCTACCTGTAATGCTGTGGACACAGAACAAGATTGGCCATTTTCCTGAGCTTTGTAAGAACTGAGGACGGCCTGGTAGGTGTGAGGGCACTGCTGGGGGTCAGAGGCGCCTGTCTGTCCATAGAAAGCTGATTGGATGGTGATGGTGGTGCGGGATGGACAGCGAACAGACAGGAAGTCTCCATCACAAGCCAGCTCTGTGTAGTTCCGTAGCACTTTGGAAAGGTAACCTATAAGACAGCAAGATGCCAAAGCAGCTGTTACTTTAACACCTTGACATCACTGAATGCACAAAACACAAAGTGTTTTGCAGCAGAGCGTTTTGGGGCATCGGTAGCTCTACATGATGCTACCAGGCAGTGTGATGCCAGTCAACTTATTTATTTTTATACAAAACAACTTAAGTGAGTGAGCCATGTGGTTTTAGCAGTGTGACAGACTGCTGTTCTTGGTTTAAAAGCAGGCTATTTGTGACCTTTTAGGCTCTATTTCTATTAGCACGTTGTTATGCTTGTAACTATGTTTACTTATACCACACAAGATATCAAGACCGCAAACAGAAACATTATATAACTTTTTTAAAGGAAGACGCACAGAGTGATCTTTCATTAAACCTTTGTGGCTGCTTCAAATCAAAAGCTCTCATTCTTTGAAGGCTCTGAGCTATCTCTGCTTTCCCATTAGAGTCTTTGAGGTCTGCCAGTCGGCCTGTCAGTCATTCAGGCAAGCTGAACCCGTCACAAAGCCACCATTAACATTCCAGCCTGCGAGAAGGAAAACACATAAAGGAGAGAGCTGATCCATATAATGTCTTTCTAGACTTTATCTTGCCCATTTGTGTGCTTGCTGCACACACACAGAAACAAACAATTTTCTTTAAGTGGTAGATTCTCCCATTTCTAAACTTTACTGGAATTGTTATATCCGAAGCCTAAAATTGCTAAGCCTGTGAATTTGTATCCAACTCTGTGATGCTCATCATTTTCTAAAATTAAACGTACACTGAGACAGTTTTGTTCAGGAATGCGGTAAAATATGAATCTAGATTTCAACGGCCAAGAACAACTTCCAAAACAAGCTCGAGTTTTCCAGGCTAAGTGCTCTTGCTCTGCAAACACATGAGCAAAGAGTCAGCACACACCGACAAAGTGGATGCACTGTGACTCAGTTACCTCTGTTTGGTTGGTGCTTCATAGGAAAGAGGAAATAACACTGACTCAGAGTTTTTCAACACACAATGCATGTACATGATATTTCACAAAACACACTGTGCCCTTATGACCACAGAGGAAGGGAAACAAGAGACAATCAGGCTTTGACAGGTCAGTTTCTCTCTAAATACAGAAGCTTATTAAACCACTATTGCTCACAGTAACAGATTTCCACCTGTGGCTGGGGTGTGGAAATGGAGAACAGGTGCATGTGCAAGTCTTATTTTAAGTTTATTTAGAGATTATTTCCATGCCACATTACCAGGATGTGAGCTACAAACCAACAATGGCCTTTCAAACATTATCACAATCTTTAATACCTGTCCTAAACGTACTTTGCTCGTTGCCAAGCAAAATAAATTGCAGGTCTTTGGCTCATATGATGAAACATTATTTTATAGAGCTTAGAGTATATGACCCAATTTAACATGAAATGAGAATATTTAGTTTTTATGGTTGTTGGACACAGTAACCCTTGTGTGATTTATAAACTGCACTTATGACACCACTATTGCAATTTAGATTTTTTTAATGGTGTGGATTTAACTTTCCCTGCACAGTAAACACACAGGTCTGCTTTGCCTGCTACATTCCACACCTGGTAAGAAGGAACATGGCATACTCCCTTGTAGTGAGACCACACACACACACACACACACACACACACACCCACACGTGCATACAAAACATCAACACAAATAGCGTAGTAGGAACAACCCTCACAGCTTGGCTCTTGAGACCAAGGTATGAAGAGCTGGTGTAACAGTATCACATTATTAGGACTGTTACTTGGCAAAGCGCCAGGCCCATGAGAGTCCATGAGTTTGTGCAGGTTATTACGGGGGGTGAAACGGAATGGAAATGAAGTTGGAAGAGGAGTTTCTAACGCGAAGGATCCTTGAGCAACAGTTTGAGCACCACAAACACACCAATACTCCTTTCTCCACCCTACCAAGTGGGACTGTGGGTAAAAGGTAAACAGATTATCTCACAAACCCTCAGGTGCTTTCAAAAGACTCCAGTTCTCTTTCTTGCCATCTCACCCTCCTCCCACACTGTTGCTCTCACTCTTCTTCAGGATCGTCACTATTGTTCTCTTCACGCTACTTGTTGACTGAAGCCTCCTTTCAAGGGCAACAAAACAGGCGGGGTTAAGGCACCTGTGTAAACCGCCCAGCCAATTACAGGTGTCCCTCAGAGGCAGAAGGTCGAACAATGCTGGAGGAACACCCAGGCATCTCTCCTCCTCCCTTCTCCTCCCTGTTTCTTTTTATGTGGGTCCAGGCGCCTTCCTTAACTAGCTCTCTGGCCTTTCCCTTGACAAAAGCGCCGCACCATTATGTCTATTGGTTTGTTTATTCGGCCATTAAAAGACAGGAGGTTGCAGGTATGATGCTGTTCGTGTACAAACAAGTCGCTCTTGTCGTGAACAGGATTAAAAGGCAAGCAAGGGCCATTTAATCACTGCAGCATAGGGATTTGTCATAAACACAGACAAATATCTGCACATACATTCTGTATCAATCACCCAACATGATGTGATTAACTTGTCAGCGGGCAAGAATGCCCATGTTTCACCTGCAGTCGCAAGCTGTGAGCCAATTGTAAAACAAGAAATCAGAGGCCCTTGTGATTGTGACCTCCTCATTTGTGGTCATATGATGACCTTAAGTGTGACCCTAGAGGTTCAGGAATGATGGAGATTAGTGACAGGCTGCTGTGTTGTGTCAGCACGACACAGAATGAGGACTGGTGCAGAAGAAGTTCCTCTCTGGAAATCACTGATTACTCACAAAATTGAGAAGGTCACATACTGTATCAGTGCAAATTTACTGCAGAGTATGGGTAAATATGCATTTATTGTTTCTAAATACAGAGTTTGGAAATGGTGGTTGATAAGGTGGATTCGTAGTGTTGTTTTAAGCAAATTATAGCCATCAAATGTTCAAAGATGCAGAGCTGCAGGCCGGCTGCCTGAGAAGTTAGCGCCTTTAAGTGGTGATTACTTGGGAGAGCAGAGGTTTCCCTCAAAGTGGCCAGCCACGTTCTGGCAGGGCTCTATAGAAGGCTGGTGCAGATGAAGAGGGGAAGACAAGAACGATGAAAAGCCAAGATGGTGATGAGTGACTGTGATAGAAAGTGGTAGATAAAGATATGCTGGTCCCAAAAAGATAATCAACTGTTCATTAAAACTCTGAAAAGATATCAAGAAGGTCACGATTTGAAGTGGATGAGAGGAAAATGTGGTAATCATCATGATAACAGTTGCACAGAAAAAAAAAAGATAAATCTTTTAAAGCAATGCCACTGCTTACGGGATGTAACAGCAGAGGTCTAAAGGCCAGAGCGGGTGGCCTTGTGCCTGGAGCACAACATGGCATGTAGATAAAACCACCACTGGCTGTAAATCATACAGCATGTGGCCAAAACTCTGCACTGACCCCTTCAGACCTGAGCTTTAGCTGAACATATGATACACAAGCTCAATGAAACAGGTTGATGAGGTGTGCTAACATGAAATAAAACCACACCATGAAACGAAAAAAAGAGCAAACATTCACTTAGCCACAAAAGGCACAATGCAATGGACATGATGTCAAAGGAAAGCTATGAGCAACTACTGCCGTGCCAAATACAGTCCTCACTGCTAAGTCAGGTTTGGGGCAAAAAAAAAAAAAAAAGCATTCCTAAAATACACTGCATTCCTCTACCTACAATGCATTAGTCTTACTACTACAGTTGAGTCCTGGATTAGCCTGCTTTCTTGCTAATCCCACTGTGGGGCAGAAAAATCATTTTGTCTTTTTCTAATATAGTAAAGTTTGACCTAAGTCAGAGCAGGATTACTTTTCAAATTACTCAAGGTCTCTAAGTGGATAGCATAATGAAACTTCAGGTGCTGAAGGATGTGTTGACTGAAACTATCTAAGAATTTGTGCATGAAGCTAAAGAAACATGCACCAGATTGCCATTTTGGTGCAGAGCTTGCAAATATTTGACATATTCTTGTGATCTGAAGATTTATGTTAGCTCAACATAACCTACAGTGTCAGCTGAGGGGGCGCACTGATAGAAGGTCAGTGGATTTAACACTAGCACTGGTTTTGCTCTAAAGCCAACAGAGGACCAGGACCTGTAGAACACAACTTTAAACCCTATTCCAGTGTATCCCCTTCCTCCACAGTAGATAAACCCAGCATGTGCTTCACACTTTTGCTATCAGACTTCACTTAAGACTGACAGCAGCTAATGAAACTGGGAAGTGTCACTGAAACAAAAACCAGAGGAGGAAGAAACCCAACATGAGGCAAAGTAAACTGGGAACAGGAGAAAAGGGGAGGGCTCTGCCCATATGCACTTCAGATTTGTGAGTGTTCCATTTATCTCTTGGTATGTTTGCATGCGTTTCTTTCATTTGGTAGGTACGACACTGACTTTTTAATGTGCATACATGTGGGCCATCTGGGTGCATGCAAAACTGAGTTTCTGCATTTTTCACCTTTTCAATATGTCATCAGCGGAGGCAGCCAGATGTGAAAAACAAAACAAATTCACATCTTGATTTGGTTCACTGACTGAAATTCTGTGGTTTGGACTCCAGAGACACGAGATAAGTGCTAACATGTTTATCTAAGTATCTTTTAAATAATGGGTCTTGTTATATTACATGTAAATCTGCGGCTGACTGTTTTTACCATCCTACCTGCTGCTGTTGGTCATTTGCACTACTGCTGTCCATGTGCATCTCAAACTCACAACCATCTGACAATCTTCTTGTTATTATCTGCACAGGGTTCAAGTCATAGCCTATTAGGTTGTACCGTTTAGTTTTATCCTAATCACTTTGATTTAGTTTTCTTATTCTTTTCAGTCTATTTTTACTCTACTTTATTCTATTTTAGTTTCCTAAATGGTATGGCATTCAATACTAGGTGAGAGAGAAACGGTATTTCGATTTTCTGTATGTCCTGCACATATAGTGAACTGACAATAAAAATATTTGATCTCTTGATCTTGAT